TCTGATTATTTAATTTCTGCTAACTGCATACAAAAATAAAAGCTCACTGGAAGTTATACACAACGTCTATTTTTGTCATTCCAATTTATGCAACAGTAAATTCACCATTTAGTTTGGAGTTATTATGCCTATATGTGCATCTAAAACATCTAAAAGATGATATATTTCATCTGGAAACATTTATAGATAAATGTCCTCAACCTATACATAGTACAATAAAAAATATAAAAAAGGAATGCATATTGTAATATTGTTACATTAAATCTGGAGTTACATTAAATCAGATTGTCATCTGATTCCTTTGGGGTAGGCAAATTGTAACATGGAGTTTCTCAAAGACAAAAATCTCTTGGCTCAAGAAAACTAGTATTAAAATAGGCAGTTCCACATGTTTGTAATTTGTGGAGAAGGTGCAGACAGTGACAGAATAGTGTCTGAATTATTTCCCACTCTTTTTTAAATTTATGTATATCAAATTGATATACTTCAAGGTAGCAGCTGTTTAATGCTAATGCCTAATTATAAATTAGTCTGGTAACATTCAAATATATATTACATATTTTACATTACTAAGACATATTTAGGAGGCACAGATTCATTTAAACCCCATTTACACTACCCAGTGTAACTACAGATTTAATCTTTGTGATAAAGTAAACTTGAAACAAGTTTTGCAAATTATGAATAGTTTACAAGATTCTGAAAGTGTGTCTCCACACATCCAAATCTGAACCTCCAAGGCCAGCACACGTGCTAGGACAAAAATTTATGAAAAACACTATATTATGAAAAAATTTTGAAAGAAGTGGATGCAACATGGTGCCTGCTGTATCATCTGTAAATTATAATTATTCTAAACCAAATTACTACATTCTTTTATTGTAAAAATGAAAACAGAAATACTATATGTTGGAAGAAGTCTAGTACTGGATGTCTGTTTTGTACCTTAGTAGATCTGGTGGCACTTATATTAACGCCAATAACATCACTATTATATTTGATGTTTGCCTTTTATAAATATATAAAAATTAATTTGATTCAGTCGGGTTTCTGAAAGGCTGTGCTTTCAGAAGTTATAGCTGACAAATTTAGTTAGATCCTCACTGCTTTGCCATTTGGAAAACTACATGTAAATATCTTTTAAAAAATCAATGATATTGCAGAAAAAAATACTTGATCAAAAACAGTGGATGACATATACTGACATATCTCTTCCTTGTAGTTTGTTGCTAGCATTAAAACAGAAAAAATGAATTTTTTACATGAAGATTTACAACCCAAGGCTGCATTACTCTGCAGCTGTTGGTGGGGAACAGGTTTAGATGTTTTGAATCATCACTTCTGTCAATGTATTCTCATACTTTCTTAAAAGAAAAAATAAAAGTTACATGATCAAAATGATTTAGGGCTGAAAACCTGTTTTTTATCCAACCCTCATTCCCTTTCCATAATAAAAATGCATTTTTAACAAAAATGTTTAAATGCCTTATTATGTAATATATTCAACCGATTGATTCAATGTCATTTAAAAATCTACTGCAATACACCAGAAAAATATTTATTAATGCTATAATCAAGGAAAAATATTGATCAAGTAACCCTCACACATATGATGAGGCATTTCTAATTTCAATTTCTAATTTCACTAAGGCAACTACCATGAAAACTGTACCCTCTTTCAAAACATGCATTTTGTTAGGTTGAAGATTAGAAAGGTAAAATTACTCATGTTATGGTTTCTTTACTATCTGACTACTCTTACTGAAACAATTCAGGTTCAGGAATTCTCTTTTACTTGGGCTCCTTTATCACTTAAATCAAGAAGTAAACTTAATTTTGCTCTCCTCATTAAAATGCCTGTGGGAAAAAGAGACCAAAAATGTAAAATATAGGGACAGGGAAAGGCCATGTTACATCATTTAAATAAAGATGGGACCAGATTGCACATTAGAAAGGAATCTTTATCTTCAGCAATAAAACTGGGTTGTTACTCAAGGAGAAATGAAACTTGCTTGCATTGTATGCACTTGTACAGATATACTCTAGTGTCAGGCCCACGTTACTGAAAGACGAGAAGAACAGTAGGGTGAAGGGAAAAGTGGGCTTTCCAAAAATTTCCTGACTCTTAGAAAACTGGGCTGCAATACTCAAAGGAGAGTTTAACCACTTAACCACAGAGCAGATACCAGCAGGTTACAATACTTTAATTGTTTTTTCATACTCTAATAAGACTGGATTTATTTTAGATAAGTAGTTCCTACACTGTGGTCCAGAAAACAATGGTAAGTGATTTAGAGCCAAGGAGACAATGTGTAGAACTAATACAGGACTTCCAATACTGTTGGGGGGGTTGTGGGTGGGTCACAGTTTTTTTTATTTGTTTGTTTGTTTGTTTTCCCTCCAATAATGAAGGGTATTTTCTGGAAGTGTGGTTCTTTGCCAGCCTGTTATATTGTCTGGGCCATTTGAAGAAGCATTTTTATAAACCATCCCTGAATGTGAAAGACCATGTACTTTGCTACCAGTCTTTGTATTGAATATTTAGCACCAATCGTCATCAAGGTATTCATTTCCCAGGCTGCTATAAGCCCTAAGGCTGAAGTAGTTTTTTGTAGCCTACAGATCTTATGGTGCATTTTTTAAAGATGCTCCAAGGTTTTGTCTTACCTTGGGAGGCTGTGCATGGGATCAGAATAGGCTCTGGCTGTAGCCCAGCTGCCTGAGGAAGATTGTTGCAGGTGGCAAACCAAACCTTTTTTCATCAAATAAGAAGCTCTCATCTCTCCAGCCCTGGCCCATCTGCACCTGTTGTTAGAATTCAAAATCCCTCATCCTGCTATGAAGCTGGTTTGTCCTCTAGCAAACTACAAATACAGTGGAAGTGGTAAGGGTAGCCTAATCTTTGAGATATTTTATTTTTTTTTCCATTTCCTTGTCTTAGAGTTTAGAGATGAAAGAAAACTTGGTTCAAAGAAAGACATTGAGTATGTTTACGTGACATCCTCAGAGTAGAAAGATTCCATCTGAATCCATTAGAAGCATTTCAAAGCAATTTCTTGTATTTGCTTCTAAGTAGTATGTTTACTTGCTTTACATGTGATCAAGTCAGATGAATCTAGCAAAATGCAGTTAGCAAAAATTGTAGTGTGTATGTGCGCATTTGTGTGTGTGATAGGAGGGACAGGGTAAATAAATGTTTTTTTTTATGGGTCATTTAATGGGAGGTCTTTTACATTAATACTTATGTATTATGGTTAAAAAAAATAATATATATATATATTAAGTGGTAGAAATTAAAGTTCATTCAGCATAAATTAGTTACTTAGTAAAACTTGTTAATGCATATTTCCAGCAACAAATGCTGCATTAAGAAATACCTGTTCTTAGTAAGCAATATATTAAAAAAAAAAAAAAAAAAGTTAAAGTGAACATCAGGTGTTAGGTAACACAGAAACCCAGAAACTTTTTGATCAATTAAATTAAAATGAATCTGCCATTAAGCAACATATGGGTATATATTAATCTGCATTTTGATCAGTTACAGAGTGAAAGGAAAGGTTTACAGTTGGAATAATTCCAGGCAGTGTATCTCAGACATATATTTGAATCTCTAGCTTTAAGTCTACATCTCACACAGCTTTCATATGGCTCATTAGAGGCACTCAATAAAGTGCTGCTTTAGAGAACTGCATCACAATTCACAAATAAGGGTCTTCAAAAGCAAATTATTAAAAACAATTTATGTCATTCAACATAGCAACCAAATTATATTTAGATATTCTAAAAATCAACAGTGGAGACCATCAAGCATATTAAGCAAACAGCCCATGAAGAACAATTCCTGCAGAATGTTGGTGTATATTTAGGTAAAATGTGAAGAACTCATGAATAATACAATAAAGTTTAGCATAACAAGATCAAGTGAATTTTCTCTTGTCATACATAAAAATATGTAGTTTAGACACTTAGAAGTATGTTTCAGAGCTATACTTGCTAATTCCCACAATGTCTCATTGACTTCTATAAGCAAAATTGAACTACTAATTTGAACCTTTACATGCAATTCATTGCTGAGCTGAGAATCTTCTGGTTTGCTTTTAGTTTAAAAAAAAAAAAAAAAAAGTATTTTGAAGAAGACAAGTCTGCTGTCCATAAGCAAGACCTGTCATAGGTGAACAAGTCAATTTGGGAGAGATAGCTTTACAAGAGAAATTCTGTAATAAAGTATGACTATTTTAACGTGCATTCTTCATTTTTCTTATTTTTCATATTTTTCTTATTTTCTACAAGAAACAGAACTTTTCAAATATCTTTTATACCAAGACTTTCATAATTTCAAAAAGAAGCACGGTGCATTGCTCTTACAGAGCAACTTCTTTTGGGTGGCAGGCAATAAACCAAACTCAGCTGCAGATTTATACTGTAGTATCCCTTCAAATAAAATAATGTGCTTTTTTTTTCTGAAAAAATGCCAGCAGTGTGTAATTCATTTGTGCTCACGTACAGAGAACTTTCTTGAAAGAATGCATTATTATTTTAACATGCAAGCCTGGAATGGCCACATATTTCATTCACATAGCATATATTTGTTTTCATTTGTTTTGAGATTTGTTTCAGCTTTGGTGTTAACATGACTTAAGACTGCAATCTCTTCCTCAGTCATTTTTGGTAACAGAATGACAGTATAATTTAAAGCAACTAAAGTATTTTAGTTTAAAAACAAACAGTTAATAAACTTTATTAACAGTATATTTTCAAATATTTTTGCATTTTTAATAAACTTTATTCAATCAAATTAACTAGGAAATTTTATTTTTATTTAGGAAATTTGTAGCATTTTATTTTTCTTCCTACTGAGTCACATCACACTCCTTTGAAATGGCACAAGGAGAAGAATTAATAATTTCTAATAATGGAATGCATTATTCTAAAAAAAGATTATCATGGTACCTTGTTATGCTCTGCATCCTAACTGTTGTTTTGTTACTTTAATTTCTTACCTCTTTGTTTGCTCTGTCTGCTTGAACTAATGTTCCATTCAGACACGGTTCAACATAGTGAAGTTCTTCATTATACTATAAAGAGAAATAAAAAGTAGGATGAAAAATTTAATTAAAAGCTTTGAAATATACATTTTAATTTAATTATTTAGAACTACATTGAAATATGCATTTCAATACGCAGCAAAAACAATATGATTTAGTTCATTTTTGAAAGCTGGACATGGTATATTTTTTTTTCTTTTACATGCTTCCTAGTGTTTCAGAGGTTTAGACTTTTAAAAAGGAACATTCAATTGAATGGATGCCAACACTCAGGTGTAATTAATGGGTAATGTACACACTAGATGGTATAAATATCCTTCATGCTGAAATCTGAATAGTATTAAGAGTTCAGATTTGATGCATCACTGTCACAACTCCCAATACTTTGTTACATATACAGAAAAACCTGTCAAATAATTGAGGCATTGGCTAACACATTTTGGAAGGTTGATAGTGGAACAACCATGCCAAAACTTCTGGGAGCTTGAATCAATCTGGAGTATGTCTATCAAGTCAGAACTTCAGTCAAGCAACTAAGGCCTGAAGCTGTGACAGATCTTGAAAGGAATTTCTGCTTATCTTGCAAGGTCCAAGTAAATTAGATACTCCAGTCTCACTTTCAGAAGCATCTTAAGAATTTAAACAAAGTGTCACCAGCATGACAGATCTAACAGACATCAGATCTAACAGAACCATGGATGCTTAAGTCACTTGACTGAAAATTGACTTGATTGTTTAAATCTTTTAAACCTTTCAGTAAATGTCAGATTAATATAGATGAATTCAAAAATTCTACATCAGTTTTAGAGATACAGTCTTCAGATAGTTTCTCTTCTTACTAATTTGATCTAATCTAGAAGTTATAACAAAGTATGAGGTCTTCGCATTTTGGCTCTACTTCGTTTCACTCTTTCACAGACAGTAAGTGAATCAGAAAACCCATACCAAGAAAAGACAACACATTAAGTTAAGCTAAAAATAATGATGGAAAGCATTTCATATGATTAACATATGCATTTATTCAATTATTCCTCCATCTCATGAGGAATAATTAAATAAAAAAAAAACTTACAACAACCTATTACAAAGTGCTGTTTTCAGAAGGTTCTCTGTCACTGCAAGATCTCATCATCTCTGCCTGTACCTCTGAATTTGTTCTGCACTCTCTTCAATTTAACACCATCCTTTTGTCTGCATAGATGCTTAACCATAGACCCCTGCAACCTGTTCCACATAGGACATCTGTTATCATCATTCACATGAACAGTGTACTATTTGTCACATTCATTAATTTCATAACTACTGCTGCAAAGAGAAGAGTTTTTAATTAGAACTTCATTAAATTATTCTTGAGGCATTGTGCCAGAATTAGTCCTCTGCTCTAAATACATATATATGTATTATATATATATATATACCAGAGTTAACTCCACTTTCTATTGCTAGAGATATAGAATATTTACATCAGCATCTACATGGCAATTGTTTAGCAGTTCAAGCAAAACAAGATGCTAGGTTATTTACCACCCTGGCCAGGATGACACCACCGATGAATTATTCTTTGCAGAACTAAGAGATGCCTCGAGGTCAACTCCTCTTGTCCTTATGGGGGATTTCAACTTGCCAAACATCAACTGGGATCACCACATGGCTGACACGAGCAAGTCCAGGAGGTTCATAAAGTACCTAGATGATAACTTCTTGGCACAGGTGCTAAGGGAGCCAACTAGGAAAGGTGCCCTCCTTGATCTGTTGCTGGAAAACAGAGACGGTCTTGTGGGAGACGTGGCAGTTGGCAGCCGTCTTGGTCATAGTGACCATGAAGTGGTTGAGTTTAGAATTTATGGTGACAGAAGGAAAACTGCCACCAAAACTTCAGCCCTGGATATGGGGAAAGCTCAGGTTGCTCAGGGAACTAGTCAGCAAGGTCCCCTGGGAAGCTGCTTTTGAAGGCATTGGCATCCATCAGTGCTGGTCAGTCTTTAAGCACTGCCTCCTAAAAGCACAAGCTTTTTGGCAATTCCAAAATATCGGAAGTCAGGCAGGTGGCGCAAAGGCTGGCCTGGCTGACCAGGGATCCTCTACTGGAGCTTAGGTGAAAAACGAAAGAGTAAGGCTGCTGGAAGGATGGTCAGGTGACGAGGAAGGAATACAGGGATGCTGTTTGTGTTTGTAGGGAGAAAATTTGTGGGGCCAAAGCCCAGCTAAAATTCAAGCTGGCCATGTCTGTGAGAGACAATAAAAACGTTTTTAAGATACGTGAACAGAAAAAGGAGAACCAAAGAAAACATAGGCCCACTACTTGATGGGGAAGGTCTCCTCACAGACAATGACATAGGCAAAGCGGAGACAATAATGCCTTCTTTGCCTCTGTCTTCAACACTGATGATGGGCTTCAGGACCCTGGGTGCCCTGAGCTGTAGGACCATGACGGTGGGAATGACAAACTCCCAACCAAACCTGAACATGTGCGGGATTTGCTGCTCCAACTGGATCCGTACAAGTCCATAGGTCCGGATGGGATCCATCCCAGGGTGCTTAAAGAGCTGGCTGATGTCATCACGGGACCTCTCTCAATTATTTTTCAATGATCTTGGGAATCTGGAGAGGTCGCAGTAGACTGGAAGATGGCGAATGTGCCAGTTTTCAAGAAGGGTAAGAAAGAAGACCCTAGCAATTACAGGCCTGTCAGTCTCACGTCAGCGCCTGGTAAAATTATGGAGAAGGTGATTCTTGAAGTTACTGAAGCGCTCCTGGGGGACAAGGGGACAATGCAGTCATTGGTCCCAGCCAACATGGGTTCATGAGGGGTAGGTCCTGCCTAACAAATTTGATTTCCTTTTATGATAAGATCACCCATCTAGTCGATCAAGGGAAACCAGCTCATGTGATCTTTCTGGACTTCAGCAAGGCTTTTGACACGGTTTCCCATAGGATCCTACTGGACAAAATGTCCACCATACAACTTAACAAAAACATCGTACGATGGGTGAGCAATTGGCTGATAGGCAGGGCTCAAAGGGTTGTGGTTGATGGGGCCACATCTGGTTGGTGGATGGTCACTAGTGGGGTCCCTCAAGGCTCCATTTTAGGGCCAGTCCTCTTCAATGTTTTTATAAATGATTTGGATGTAGGACTAGGAGGTGTTCTGAGCAAATTTGATGACGACACCAAACTTGGAGGAGTTGTGAACTCAGATGAGGGTGGAAAGGCCTTGCAGAGAGATCTGGACAGATTGGAGAGCTGGGGGATCACCAACCACATGAAGTTTAACAAAGGCAAGTGGCAGGTCCTGCACCTGGGACGGGGCAACCCTGGCTGCACGTACAGACTGGGCGATGAGACGCTGGAGAGCAGCCCCGCAGAGAGGGATCTGGCGGTTGTGGTAGACAACAAGTTGAATATGAGCCAGCAGTGTGCCCTGGCAGCCAGGAGGGCCAACAGTATCCTGAGGTGCATCAAGCACAGCATTGCTAGTCCGTCGAGGGAGGTAATTGTCATTACGAACTGTCATTATGAACACAAGAAAATGTAGATTTTTAACCTTCTGAAACCCTGCCAAGTTGTGACACTATTTTTATCTGCAGTAGCTAATTCACCTTAAGAATATTACTATAAAATATTTAAAGTAATCTGCTATATATGGAAAAAGAAGCTGGATTATGGCAAGGCATGTCAATGAGTATTTTATGTATACGTGTTCTGTGAATAACAAGCAAAACCTGACGTGCTCTGTTTCTCAGAGTTTATTCCTCTATCATTCAGATACAAACAAAAGCATAGTAAGAAAAATCTGTATATAAAACATATATATCAACTTCTGATGGTTCAAATTGTTGCAAAGATGCATTGTTATGATTATATTTTAGTTACTATACAATTTTCTGCTTATATAGACTTTACATTCCTTTAAAAATATTATGAGATGGAAAAATTTACTAGACAAAATTATTTCACTTCCAAAAAGAATGCCCAAAACAGCAAAAATCTCCCAAAACACATGAAAACTGAAAAATGTTGATGCAACACACAGAGGCATTCAAGCAGCATCTCCATCTCAAATTGGCATACCTACTTGATAAAAGCTTTAGTACACCTTCCCCCTTCAGTAAAATACACTGCTTGTGCTTCATAGCATGTATCAGATGGCTTTGTCATTGTCATAGGGTGTTTTACAATGTTATCACTAATAACTCTCTTTTAACTATGCTGAACTTTTTTTTAGAATGGAAAAGAGAAAAGACATTCCAGAATTTTCTCGATCTACAGAAACCCCAAACATATTTCACAATCTTACCCAGCAATTTGAGCTCAGTACTGCAGCTATTCTATGACATTTAAAATTTTGTATTTAAGTAAAATAGCTTCCTGATCTTGACTCAAAAGACCTTTTAGTAAGTACTGACTTTGCCAGCAATACCTGATATAGATCTCCCTTTTTTCCAGGAAAAGATTTTTGAAACAGATTTTTCTTCTTTAGTTCAAAGCTGTCAGTACTCAACTTTCTTATTTCCTACTACAAACTGAATTCACCTGAGTAAAAGACTGCATTCTGCCCTTCAAGAGCTTTGCATTACACTGTTTTCTTTTATTTCCTAGTGTTACATAATATCATACCCCTATACTCATGTATATGACATCTTTGCACATTACATTTGTCATAGCTGTGATGCAATAGCATAGAGAGCTTATTACTGTGCAGCAGCTTTCAACATCTTGCGCTTCATTGACAGAGGAAGGGAGAGAAGTAAAGAACAATTACCATGCTTTACAAGCTTCTCTTAAAACCTCAGCTCAGCCTACTTTAAGCTCTCTTATAATTTAAGCACTTGAGGCCACTGATTATAATAATTTATTTACTTACTTACATTTATCTGTTTTATTAGTTTACATTATTTTGCCACTCTAGCTATTTCTTTGTACAGCAGGCATACAATAAAGTTAGTAGGCCAAAGTCTAAAGTAAGGAACCATATAATTAGTAAGACAGCTGCTGACTTATAATCAGACACTATTCGTATTCTAAAAATTAGGCATTTTCCAAACCCATGCAAGCAGTTTACATTTACCTTAGCATTTCTCATATTTATCCTTTGCCAACTGTCTGGAGCAAGGTGCTTAGAAACAAATTCATACTGTGTTGTGCAACAACACACAGATGTAAAGAGTTCACACTACTTCAGGCACAACTACTTTTCAGCCCAACCTAACACCCAACAATAAAGCCAAAACAATTCCTTTGATTCCTCTTTTGGTATTTCCAAAGTTCCCCTAACACTACTACACGCAACCAGTAGGATACAAGTGCAGCCCAGAGCTTGTAGCACTCATACAGAGGGTCACAAGTGGATGCCTTCCCCTTGCCCAGCCTGCTCTCATTTTGCCCACACAGAGTAGAATTAGTCAGGCTGGCTCAAAAATAAAGTTTATCCCTTCTGTATGAATACTAGGACTTTGAAGATGAGACTGCACAAAAACTGTTTATAATGGAAAATTTTGCAAATTAAAACCAGGGAAATATGCTACTGTGCTTTGAATTAATACTCTTCTAATATATTTTGACAAAATAGTGTGACTAAAGTGTTAAAATTGATTAAAATTTTCAGCTCAGTTAATATTAATGTAGAGTTTACATTTTGTAAAAGCATTTAAAAAATTTAAGCATTGGGCAAAATTAGTACTCCTTTTATGATAATATTGTTAATTTAATGCATGAGCTGGAGTTACACTTCAAAGCAAATTGGAAAAATATGCCTTTTCTCTTGTTGTTGTAGGCATCTCATTTTATGCACCAGTACACTGACCTTACATTTTAATATAGGCAGCACAAAATCACTCTTGTATTTAAACAATTTCTTGCAATTCAATCATCTAGTCCATCAATTTCAGATAGACCTTGCAACAACCTAACCATGAAAGCTAAAACGATTTCTAACATTATGTTTTTATGTTTATTCTCTGGAAAGACTCGCACTGAATTCTGCTTTCTGCTACATATAAAGTTTGAAATATATTTAGTGAAAAAACAAACGGACCTAGTGGATATGAAACAATCCAACTAATGTACTGCTAACAGCTTTGAGGGCTTGTTGTTGGCTGCTTTGTTTTGTTTTGTTGTTGTTATTTGTTTTCTATCCTACTAGATATTTTTAAATGTTAGTTGAATTTTTAATTACATTAGTATGTACTGACCATAACTCCTATTACCATTAATGAAAATTCTCAACTTTTATGTGCACAGGATACTGAAACGTGTAACAACCCCAAAAGCAAACTGAATGCCTTTAGAAAACATTTTGTACAGTGTAAAGGGATAATAAAAAACTAATAGAATAATAAAATCATTAAGGTTGGAAAAGATTTCCAAGATCATCTGGTCCAACTGTCCTCCTACGACCAATCAATTATGCCCTCCTTCTACATGAGTTAATTATGTAATTATTATGAGGGAAGATTAATACAACAGATATTCTGAACTAATTTATTAAAAATACAGTACATGCACATATATTTCAGGCATAGTTATTTCATACTCCAGACAATGTCAATGATTTACACTAGTGTTACTGGGATTGTTTATTTTAATAGAAAAACAGCACTTCTGTTTTACCATACCATGGGAAGGCCCAAATCCTCCTTATATTCAGAAGTTTGAATACATTCTTGGGATTTACATTAATGATAAAAGCACTTACTTATAAAGTGATTTTATTTACTAACTCTCAAAACAATATCAAAGGGAAATTTATAGAACCATCAATATCTCCCCTCCTCAGCCAAAACATAGTCATGATCAATCCCATTACGCCTCAATAAGTGTAAAACTATCCCCTTGTCATATATTTAAAGCTTGTATGTGAACCAACTACCACACACGAATAACAGAACTACTGATGATTCTTAGTTATCACTGTTCGTAAGCACCAGTAAAACCTTTCCACAAAACGTTACAATACCCTTGTTGTTATTTGCAAAATAATGTCATATAATAGGATCAACATGGAAAAAGTATCCTAGAACTTAATATGTCTTCAATGCTAAACATCAGGCATTGCTTTTCACATGATTTTACAGATCAATAAATCTTACTTTTGGAGAATAGCATCTGAAATTGTGTTATGTGTTCATAATATTCAATGTTGCATTATAAGTACATGAAAATGTGACAAAAATAATTTTAGAAGATTTATGATGGGTCATTAAAATGATAGTATACAGTAGATTCTTATATTCATTAGCTTGCTTTAGAGTTGTTTTGTGAACATTTCACTTCTGAAACTCAATTAGCTAGGTACACAGCACATTTCAGATTCACATTGAGGAGAGCTGTAAAAATGAATAGACAACCTGATCTGGTTGTCTATTAATTAAACCCCGCTGTGAGTATGACAGCTTAAGGGGCTTCAGATTGCAACTCCTAGAAAAACGCTTTGAAACACTGTCACCAGCGCACTGGAAAATCAGTCTTTCCAGTTAGTCCAAATGCCATCCAATATCTATCACCTGCCCTCAACATTTTTTCAATTGTATTTTGTGATAGAAACATGATAGATAGCAACAAAAGATTATATGTCATTGCATTATTCTCTGTGAAAAGATGGAAGAAAAAGATGGAAAAAAAGTCCTGAGACACTCACAGCAATTATATTGAAGAAGTCATCATCACCAAGGGTATCCAAAATAGATGAAACTGTCTGTTTAGCGATGGTCAGTCGAAGCCCTTTCATACTGCCACTGACATCTACTAAAATTACCACATCTTTTGGAGAAGTAGCTGCTTGGATGTACCTAAGATGAAAGACAAAACATCTTGTTCTTTAAAATACTGAACTTTTCTTTCTTCTACATTTCTTAAACATTGGACATCTATTACTTACCACTTTCTATTTCTGCAGTCAAATGCAATGACTCCATTCTCATCAGGTTCCCATTTAATACCTGTTCAGAAAAAAAAAAAAAAAAAAGATTAAAAAAAAAGATTACAAAATTTTACACAGTAACTTCTCAAAATGCATCTGTGATGTTGTGACAAAGTAATGTTTAACAGTTTCATACTTGAATTTTACATTTGCTATTATGAGGTAGCTAATGCTGAGAAAAAAAAAAAAAAGGATAAAATAGCACTGACAGAAACAATACAATTTATGATTTTCTCACTCCTTTATAACCTACTCTAAAGTGAAAACCTCTTCAGAACTACTGTGCACATCATACTATTGTCACTGAAGTATTTCTTCGGTGCTGACCATTTTCATGACATGCTGGCCAAGTCCCTTTCAAACTGTAATTGCTTAACATTTCATTGCTTATCTCAACAGGTACTGCTATATTAAGAGGTTCAAACGCAGGTCATAGATTTTGTGTTTTGACCATTTAAAAAAAAAAAAAGAAAGAAAAAAAAAGATTGACAGGCAATCCTTTCAGCTTTTGCACTCAATCTTCTAGCACAAAACAAAAAAACACCCTTTAAAATAAAGATTAACATTTTCTATCCTTAAAATACTGTGGGGCTTGAGAACTCAACCATAATCTAAAATTAATACAGATGTATATACTGCTTTCAGCCACTTTCAAACCTACAGGCTTACAGTAAACTGGCTTGCATTAAACTCAAGACTTCATACATAAAAACAAACAACCAAAACAAATAAAAATGAAAACACAACATGGGTCACTAAACTGTCAGCTAAAGGAAAAGTTCCCACTCTGAGCCTGATCCAAAATTGCAGAAGCTGGGGATAAATTTATTTAGCTTTTTAGTTTATTTAGTATGTAGCATATTTGACATGCAATTAAATATAAACCTTAACATGTAATACATTTAGTATTTATTTGCTAAATAGAAATAGGAAAAGCGATTTAGTTAAATTTTATTGCAACTTGTATGAAAGTACCTTTAAAACAAATTTTTGAAATCTTTAAATGCAAGATAATAAATTATGGGGAAATCTAAGAACCGGATAAATTACCAGATAAATTAAAATCTTCATGTATGTCTTAATAGAACACATTATCTAATTTCAGTAATGTATGAAGGGTCTTTAGTTTTCCTCCACAGACAGTTCAGAAGTTATTTTTCATATCTATGTATATATGAATAAAGAATATGTGTGAGCTATCTTAGGGATTTAACTTCCAAATGGAAACTAGCAGAAAAAAAAAATCAGAACATTGAAAACACTCAATAGAAATCTTTCTGAAAAGTAGATAAATTAAAATTGAACTTGCAAGTATCTGTGAAGGTAAGGATTTGTGAAAATGCTCAATGGAAATTTGCAACCATAGCTTTTCTTTTTTTTTTTCAACCTGTATTCTTCTTACCTGGATATTGTCTGAAAAATCCTTTTGCACTTCCAAAGTACTGCCAGATGAGAGAAGGGTCACGATCAAAGTTATCAACAAACACCTTATTTAAGGATTCTGACCAATAAACTCCATTTACAATGGCTGGATCTAGGGAAAGAAAGAATTTTATTTTTTTTTAAGGAGAGGAGAGGAGAGGAGAGGAGAGGAGAGGAGAGGAGAGGAGAGGAGAGGAGAGGAGAGGAGAGGAGAGGAGAGGAGAGGAGAGGAGAGGAGAGGAGAGGAGAGGAGAGGAGAGGAGAGGAGAGGAGAGGAGAGGAGAGGAGAGGAGAGATTTTTCTGAAATGGAATCTCTTCAACTCTGTTATCATCTTCAGCTTATTCAGTACACCAAAATTTAGTGTCTGCAAACTATTGCAATTTCCTGTGTTAATAAAGAGTGTCAAAATAAATTCTATACAACCTGTCTGGATACCCTGTGCAACATGTTCTAGGTGACCCTGTTGAGCACTTGTTCTGGAGGACATAAGTGAGTCAACGTAACAGTAGATTATTTATTCAATTTTATTTCTTTAAACCCTTGGAATATCTCATGGCAACACTTTAGATATTTATTTTAATCTTCAATTTGATAAGGCCATTATTGCTATATTTAAATGTTTACTGGTGGGGACACAAAATAAAATACTTTTTTTTTTCCATACTTGGATGAATTATGGTATATATCCAAACACAAAATCTTATAGTACATAACACCAATTATTATTTGGAAAACACTGGAACCAAATTTCACTATAATCTCATATTATTTTTGACTCCCATTGAGGGTGAAAAGTACAAAACAAATCCTTGATGTTGAAAATAAACTATTTCTGTTTACTACATTTTAGTACCTTCTTGACCCAGCAATTACTAAAACCCCAGATTGCCCAAGTATATTTTTAAGCTGCCATGTTGGTTCCATAGCAGTAAATATGAAATAAATGAACACAACTAAAAAAGTTATTCAGTTTCAGATTTTGATGTCAAAGATAGTTGACAGATGAGAAACAATTAGGATATTTTGTATTCCCAATTCAATCAGTATAGAAAGAAAAGAACTAAAATAACAGATAGATTATTTCATTGTGAAAGTGTGCATACACACTAAGATTTGTTCAAGCATTTGAAATAATGCTTCCATTAACTTGTAAAGTAACGACACTTTACTGATAGAATGTGATTCTAGTGGAGTGCAAAAAAGGTGAATTGTTATCTTTCTTTACATTCATCAAGTTAAAAAAAAAAAAAAAAAAAAAAAAAAACATAGAAAAAGCGAAATGTCTCAGCTACACATCTTAAATTTTTGTTTCATCTAAATATTTAGCTTTACATAAATGGACTGCTGAAAAAGCAAGGTCAACAAAACAGATTTTGTTTTTAAAACATGTCTGGTACAGTTACTTGTTTCTCTAAAAGATGAAATATACATTTAAAATCTGTCCAATCAGAAACACATCAAACAAACACATCAAACAAAGAGGTTGGACTCGATGATCTAGAGGTCTCTTCCAACCTAGAGATTCTGTGATTCTGTGAAACCAATGCCACTAGTCCAATGTGGCAAGACTTCAAGACATCAAACACATCAAACACATCAAAAAAACTAATGCCACTAGTCCAATGTGACAAGACTTCAGTCTTGTCTAGCTGGCAAGAACCATTTTCTGGGTGTTTCCAAGTCTGAGATTATGCCAATAGAAAGCTGTGTTTGAGACACTGCAAATTAAGTGTCGAGACTGCCTACCCTGTGATCTACCATCAGTTTGCAGAAATATGCTCTTATTTCAGTGCCTCAAAATATTGATTGGGCTGGGATGCATTATTCAGCATTTGAACATTAAATGAGAAGTGAAGCACTAAAATGAGAATCTCATTCTCAGTCCACTAGAATGTCCCAGTTCTGCTCCTATTCACATGCTCTGATAGAGAAACTGCATCACTAAAACGTACAGTGGCATTACCGGTCAGCATTACAATACCGAGATAAGGCAGTAAGTTTAATTCATATTTTAAAACAGCATCATAATTCAGAGAGTGGTACTTGCTTTTAGAATCATAGAATCATAGAATCATAGAATATCCTGAGTTGGAAGGGACCCTTAAGGATCATCAAGTCCAACTCTTGACACCGCACAGGTCTACCCAAAAGTTCAGACCATGTGACTAAGTGCACAGTCCAATCTCTTCTTAAATTCAGACAGGCTCGGTGCAGTGACCACTTCCCTGGGGAGCCTGTTCCAGTGTGCAACCACTCTCTCTGTGAAGAACCCCCTCCTGATGTCAAGCCTAAACTTCCCCTGCCTCAGCTTAACCCCGTTCCCGCGGGTCCTGTCACTGGTGTTAATGGAGAAAAGGTCTCCTGCCTCTCGACATCCCCTTACGAGGAAGTTGTAGACTGCGATGAGGTCTCCCCTCAGCCTCCTCTTCTCCAGGCTGAACAGGCCCAGTGCCCTCAGCCGTTCCTCGTACATCTTCCCCTCCAGGCCTTTCACCATCTTCGTAGCCCTCCTCTGGACACTCTCCAACAGTTTCATGTCCTTTTTATACTGTGGTGCCCAGAACTGCACACAGTACTCGAGGTGAGGCCGCACCAGTGCAGAGTAGAGCGGGACAATCACCTCCCTCGACCTACTAGCGATGCTGTGCTTGATGCACCCCAGGACACGGTTGGCCCTCCTGGCTACCAGGGCACACTGCTGGCTCATATTCAACTTGCTGTCTACCACGACCCCCAGATCCCTCTCTTCTAGGCTGCTCTCCAGCGTCTCATCGCCCAGTCTGTATGTGCAGCCAGGGTTTCCCCGTCCCAGGTCCAGGACCTGGCACTTGCTCTTATTGAACTTCATGCGGTTGGTGATCGCCCAGCTCTCCAACCTATCCAGATCCCTCTGCAAGGCCTTTCCACCCTCATTCGAGTCCACAACTCCTCCAAGTTTGGTGTCATCAGCAAACTTGCTCAAAATACCTTCTATTCCTACATCCAGATCGTTTATAAAAATATTGAAAAGTACCGGCCCTAAAATGGAGTCTTGAGGGACCCCACTGGTGACCGCCTGCCAGCCTGACGCAGCCCCATTCACCATAACCCTTTGGGCCCTGCCCGTTAGCCAATTGCTCACCCATCGTATGATGTTTTTATTTAGCTGTATGGTGGACATTTTGTCCAGTAGGATCCTATGGGAAACCGTGTCAAAAGCCTTGCTGAAGTCCAAAAAAATCATATCAGCTGGTTTCCCTTGGTCCCACATATGGGTGATCTTATCATAAAAGGAAATCAGGTTAGTTAGGCAGGACCTACCCTTCACAAATCCATGCTGGCTGGGACCAATGACTGCTTTGTCACCCAGGTGCGCCTCAATAAGTTCGAGAACTTATTTTCTTTCATTTGAAGTGTTTCTAGAAAAACTAGAGACTGTCTCAGGAGAACAGTAAGTTCTTCATATATCCTTCAGTTAAGAGTGTTAGTGAAAAGCCATATTCGTCATAAAAAGAATAATCCTATCTTAATATATATTTAAAATTAAATGTAGTGTTTCTTTGCAATTTATATTCAAATCTCAATCCAAGACTGCATATTTTATCTTAGTATTTTACAGTATTATGAATTCATCAGATATCTACTATTCTGGAGTCCTCAGAGGCTAATTTGTTAATGCCCTTTCCTAAGGGACCTGTGCTACAGCACCCTCATCTAAGTAGAACCTTCACATTCCTCCCTCACTTTGATTATTTCCTTCAAATCCCGTATATACCCCAGCTCCATCAGATCATGAGACAACTTTCATTGTCAAGGCTTTTAAGCTTTCAGCTGAATGAGAAATCCTTCCATTGAAATTTAAAATACATATTTATGTATAATACATATATAAAATGTATATAAAATCCTATTTTTAATTAAAATATATTGAAATACCCATGTCACTATTGTAGTGGATCATTTTTATTAGCCCATCTACTTAGAGACACTTTTTGTGTTTATATAGCTGTACTATGGATTAGAGAACTAAAGGGAAATACAACCAAGAAAATTTTCCGTGAACATGTACATTTGAGTCTATATTTTGCATTATGTTGACAACACTAACCCCTAATCATCCAAATTCTGATCAAGAAAAACATTAATCTAGTGACTATGAAACTAATGGGAAATTTTTAACTTTTTTTTTTTTTTTTTTTTTTTTTTTTCCCTGAAAGGAGCATTAAACAAACATACTAAACAAGAGGGCACAATTAAAATATAGTCTATGATGACTGGATTCCTTCTAAATTATTCCTGGTGGTAATTCACTACCTTCCTATACCCTGCATGTCTATCATGCTGTTCTTTTTACAATATGCCAAGAGAAATCTATCAGTCAAATTTTATGCATTTTTTTTCTTTTCTTTTTTTTTTTTTTTTACGCAAATTAGGTCACACAGTTTAATCCTTTTAATACTGGAGTAAAAACTGAAGTGGGGAAAAAAATAAATCTATCCACAGTAACAAACTGAAGGCAGATAGCTTATAAGTGAAAATTACCTCTCTCTACTAGTTACTACACCCTCAGGCAAACAAAACCAAGCTCCTTGCTGTAAATTTGATGACTGTTACATGGACACATCTCCAAGAACATGTGCCATCCTAAATGCCACGAAGTTCCTGGCCATATATCCACATTAAATTTTTAGAGGACCATCTTTCAATAATATATGTTAAGCTTATAGTTCTGGGCAACTCTTAGTTTTAGTAATTATGTTCTGCTTAATTTGCCCCCATTACTTCATTTAGAAACAATATGAAGTTTTCAGATTTTTGGTGAATGTCATCTGCATTCCCAAAATAGTTACTTTTCAATATTGGTAACTAAGTATTTGTGAATACTCAGGAATCTGAGAAGGGAGGAAAAGAATAAAATGTAAGAACATAATATAAATGCAAAATAATTTATGTGATGTTAGGGGGCTGATTCAAAGACAAGAAGTGTAAACGTCTTCTGCCACACATCTTGAAACATAATTTCTGCTTGTGCTTCCTGACAGTAACAGCTAAAAACAATTCAAGTATTCCCTGACCTTTTAGATGGGATTACTTGCAATTATATGGGATTTTGTTCCATTGCTGTTTGCGT